CCATGCGCATACGATCCACGTACCTAGATTCCGAATCGATCGTTCAACGTGCACCACTCGCGTGGACAACAGCGTGGCCTCCTAGATTCTGGCTTCCGATTCCGAATATTCCGATATTTCCGATACCTTTGCTCTTCTCCTCCGCGCTCCTTCGGCTTCGGCGTTCCCCCGGTGCGTCTTCAACCGGTTTTTACGACAACGAGAAAGATGGATGACACGCACGGGTGTTTACGTTACAATTCACGACGAAAACAATGCGCGATCATAAATGCGAGAGCAACGCCGTCAACGAACTGAATTGTCGGTCGGTACTGTCCTGACTGTCCAGACGAGCTCTTCCCTTGGGAAACGACGTCCATCTATCTCACTCGCTCGTTCGCTTGCTCGTACGTTTGCCGCGCCGACTGGAGGAATGAAGAGAGATGAAAGAAAGAAGGAGCGGGAATTGAATTTCTGTGACTGGCCGACCAATCGCGCGAGTCGATCCGGATTCCGGCCATTCCGGGTCGCCCTGCAGCGAGTTTATTCGCTCGCGCGTCAGCGCCGTCGTCGTTTTTTCGTCAATCTTCTCTTCTTATTAGTTCTTCCTTCCCTTATAATATATTTTTTTACTTTGTCAAGGGTGTAGCTGGATATGTGTACGAAAAGTACTCCTACATCATATTAAACTTGCTACACGTTGATTGTCGAGTCTCGCTGAAAAACAAATTTTTATCAAGTTTCAACTCTCTATATCATACCATTTCAATAGAGGCAATCAAAAACATATTTTTTTCACTATAATATTTTTTTCTTTTTCTAATCTATGAAAAATTATGAAAAAAGTCAGTCATATTCAATTAAGACGAATTACGATTGGAAATTTTTTAAGATTTGCAAAATACAAATTCGGATTCTAAAAAATGAAGTTTAAAATTGCCAATGTCATCTACAAGATACTTATAGTAAAGACGACCGGTCTTACGTACAGAAGTTCGTGTGACTGTTAACATTTATAGCCCTTCTACAATAAGCCGCAAATCAGAAGTTCTAAACGATCTTAAGTCATAATCGATGAAGTTGGCCAATAACCAACTTGAACGACTTGGTTAAGACTGGTTAAGACTTCTGACGTTCTGACTTGCGGCTTATTGTAGAAGGCCCATTATGGCCCTTCTGGAACAAGCCATTAGTCATAAATCAGAAGTCAGAAGCTAAAAATTGACCAATCACAATCGTCAATTTTTGACTTCTGACTTCTGATTTATGACTAATGGCTTATTGTAGAAGGCCTATTATTGTAGAAGACCCATTAAGTTTTAAGTGATTATAAGAACTGTACCAACGAGATATTATATATATTATACATATTATTAAAACGGCCAGCGCTGGGAAAATCTTCTTGACTATCAATAGATTCGGGGGGTCCGAGAATAATTGAAGAACGATGACATTATCGACAATTGATATAAAGGATATAGCAGGATAAAGAGGGAATTTCGGGTTCCGCATGTAATCCATCGCCATAGGGAGCAAAATGAACACCCGGATGAAAATATTTTGTACAAAGTTTTATTCTAAAAGAGCCACACCATTTCGAGATATCGAAGAAATGTTTTTTCATTATTTTATTCTCCGCTAAATCTAAGCGGATCTTAAAAAAAATTGTGAATATAAGGAGTATCAAAAAGATTAGAGTAAAAATTTTTTTGTCATTCTTAACTCAAAATTCTGTTTTTTAAAATTCAAGAATTTTCTAAATTTCATTTTTTACATGATTTGAATATTTGGTCACTTCTAAAACAATTCAGCAGCCAAATCTTATCATAAATTATTATATATTACATATAATTTTCAGATTTTTAGATTTGGTGGAACATGTCGAAAATAAATTTAAACCATAAAGGAGATCTTAGCAAGAATAAATTTGTATAACATTTTAAAGTAATTTTTAAATAATTCTCCTTTTATATAGTTATTATTTTTACATTATTGTCAAATAAAATAATTTAAAAACAAGCAAAAAAAGTTAATTTTACACAAATAAAGAATAATATTTACCGCGAGGTTGTTTCATCAGTGCTCGATGTCTCTTCCAGACCTTCTCCTCCTCTTAGAATTAGATTGACATCCTCTTGTACAGGACACTCGCGTAAAACACTCGCGAATAATACTACTCGCGCGCGGACAAATTATAATTAATTATAATTAGAATTCCATTGAAAATAAGGATATAAAATAAGTTCCGAAAACTTATTTAACCCTAGCTATACACAGTGCGATCTAAAAAACCCGAAAAACTCCGTACAATTTGCTAAATCGAGATTTTTTTCGTGTTGTTGAACTTTTCTTTTTCTTTGAACCTGTACATATATCTCAAAGCCCCTTAATTCTGTCTACTTTTACACACCATGGACTAATTATTCCTTAATCAATTCTCCATTGATTGAAAACAAAATTAATTTAAATATGTCCATTTTTACGGAAGTTACAGTAACAAATATGGATGAGGTCCCAGGGATCCGAGTATGTGTACATCAAGGGTAAAAAAAAGTGTGTATAGCTATAGGATTAAAATATAATCAAAAAATAGGTCAGAAGAAGTTATTTAAAATAATAAATTTTAAATAAGTTTTATCTTTTTCATTACAAAAAAATATATATACAGGGTGTCCCGACCTTTTTTGCCAATTACTTTTGTGTAGATAGAGCAAACTAAACTGAGTCGAAAAGTCCTCTATCATTTTGCAATTTTCGCAATAGTTAAAAAGATATTAATTACTAAAAATTACAAAATATTGGTCTTGAATAATTTTTTACTCAAATACTATCAACTTTACAGAAAAACTGCAAGAGACAAAAATTATTTATTTTCTTCTCGTAAAGTTCTGAAAATTTTTTCAGAATTTTTTCAGAATTTTTTAATACCGTATTTTCTCTCACGTTGGTAAAAATAAGAAAATGCAGTACTAAAAAATTGATAAAAAATTCTGAAAAAATTCTCAGAACTTTACGAGTCAATATCAACTCCTATGCGGGGTATCGATCATGTAACTGTTTCCCTAGGGTGAAACGTGAAAAGAAAACATTTTTGTGTATATATATATATATATATATACTAGAACTAGGTTCTAGTCTTCTTGACTATGGCTATGCTTGCACCGTGCAAGTTGCACGTAATGGTACCTTATGCCTCCGGCACACCAGCGCGATGTTCGTCGCGCTGGTGTGCCGGAGCCATTAGACTTCTGATATTCTGACTTGCGACTTATTGTAGAAGGCCCATGAGAGAAGACATAAGGGCTTTTTTATTTCCATCAGGGCACCGCAAAAAATTGAATATTGCTGTGTAGTTGATATTCACGTGTTCAGATGGCAGTAATGCGCGGGGGTATTTTGCGGTTACAGAAAAAGATTCTCATGTCCTTTCAGGTTTCTCTCTGATATAATCTTAATGAATAGAAGGAAGACTAATGCGGGGTCTACAATAGAAGTCGTAGCGATCGTAGAGTCTTAAGTCGTAAAAAATTAATCAATCGCAATCGAATATGAGAAGAATAATCGACTATGATTGGTCAATTTTCTACGACTTAAGACCCTACGACCGCTACGACTTCTATTGTAGACCCTGCATATAATGCATTCTGGCGTTACACTACGGGCCACTTTCACCAAGCTCAGTTAACTTAACCAGCCTAGTAATTGTAATGAAATAGAAAGAGATAGAAATAGTTCTATCTCTTTCTAATTCATTAGAGTTACTAGACTGGTTAAGTAAACCGATGATGGTGAAAATGGCCCTACGAGACTAAACTGTGTTCCAACAAATATCTTGCACAGTGGAACACAGTGTAATGTCCTAGCCATAGCTGGCCCTAGCTGGAAAACAGCCTATATATATATATATGTTGTTAGATGGTGTGGATCGTTGATTGGGGCCATCGACATATAGTACTAGAAGGAGCATGGGGTGAAATGTTTGATTTTTTGTCTTGACGGACCTAGAAAGAGTAAGGTAGCTAAATGGGCACGGAACTCTCTTTCTATTCTTATCCTATTGGTCGAATTATGCTTCAAGAAGAGGACAGTAGTGTATTCTTTAAAGTCAGGAGCAGTAAAAAGTACTCCTGACTTTAATAATATGAAATAAAGTCATCACAATATTGACTGATACTAATGCAGTACGAAAAGATAATTATAAATTTATTATTAATTATTAATTATTATAGCGTTTTCGGCCCGGCCAGGTTTACACCAACCTGGGGTGG